GACTGCCTTCTTTTAGAAGGTGAGCAGTGGTGAGACCTTTATGGGACCCCCATCCCCATCTCCTGCATTCGCTTAAAAGCAAATGCATCTTCCTCTCCTCCCCAGCCCACTAAAGTAATGCAAGAAGAAAACAGAAAAGGTCTCAGAGATTTTCCAAACCCAGCCCACTTTCCTGCCACCTCTTACAAAATTCTCAGTTTTGTGTAAGTGTATAGTAGGCTGTGGCAAGGATAGAAATAGAGACTTTGGGGATGTGGGTACATAGAAAAGAGACAGATTGGTATTATATATTGGTGCAACTTATCTGGAAGGCGATTTGGTAATCTTAAGAAGCTTTAACAATACATATGCTTTTTAGCCAGGCATTCCATTTGTAGGATTTTTTCTTGAAGAAATAATCAAATAATTGTACACGGAGAAATATATAAGGATATTCATTTGAGTACTGTTTCTAAGAGAGAAAAGAGTAGAAGCTACTAAAATGTCTAACACAATGGAATTGGCTAAAAAATAGGTGGTATGTCCACACAGTAAAATACTATGTAACTATTAAACCTATGTTGTACTTCTATATTATTGACATGAAAGGATATTCACCACATGTAAGAGTCTGTGGCATCAATCAAAGAAAGCTTTCTGCAATTGAAAGTGGATGAAAATTCGTTCAGATATTTATTATGTAATCTCTTGTATTTTTACACAGAATTGGAATCATATTGTACATCAGTGGTTCTCAATGTGCAGTCCACAGACCACTGCAGGTTTCTGAAACTGTAAGGTCAAAATTCTTTTCAAAACAATAATAATATGTTATTTGCTATTTTCATTAGGTTGACATTTGCACTAATGGCACAAAAGCAATGGTGGGTATAACTGCTGGCACCTTAGCATACATCAAGGCAGTGTCCCCAAATTGTAGTGATTGATTTCTTTACAGCTACGCACTCAAAACAATTTTTAAATTCAGTTTTATTTCAAATGTCCTTAATGGAGTTCTCATTTTTAATAAAATTATAAATTTTATTAAATCTTGATGCTCGAGTGCATGTTTCTTTAATATTCTGTGCGATAAAATAGGAAGTGTGCACAAAGCACTTATTTGCCTAGGTTAATACAATGGTTGCCTCAAAGAAAAATATTTGCAGTCACTTGAGTTTTGCCCTAAATTAGCTGCTTTTTTCCCCCATGGAACACCATTTTTATTTGAAAGAATGATTGGCAGAAAAACCATGGCTTTTCAGACTTGGATATTGGGTAGACATTATTTTGAAAATGAATGAGGTAAGCCTTCAAGGAAAACAACTGACAATATTTGTCACCAACAATAAAACTTGAGCTTTCTAGCAAAATTACAATTTTGGAAAACTTGCATCCATGACCATAGGCTTGACAGCTTGTAAAGTTAGGGATTTTTCTGAAGCGATCAATGGTGATAATAACGACGATGAAGCTCTTTTTTTTTTTCTTTCTTTCTTTTTCTCCTTTTAGGAGAGAAATGATGGAGGACTCTCTGGAATAATTTTGATCTTCCTCAGTTTTACTGTGATCACTGTAGCAGAGATGACATAAAGCCCATGGCCATTTAATAAAGAATATCATTGCTGTGGTAACGAGATGACCTTGGGTAAATCTAGACATAAGATTATTTGAACACTTAAGAAGGAGAATCTATAAAGATACCAATCCTGGAAGAGTAAAGTCTTCTTCTTGGTGAGGTAGAGGTGGTATATGTGATCATATACTGAAGATGGATGCATCAGCATCTCTTGGCTTGATCTCTGCTATTTGGGTAATCCAATCAGCTTCTTTTGCTCTGATTAGCAGTGGAAACTTCCCTCTCTTTCAGATGAAACCTATTCCCATTCATAGATATGTAGTCTGGCCTTAAGAATGAGCTTAGAATCACACAATAGGTAAATATTTCATTTCTTAAAGTCTGTGTCTTAAATTATATGAAATATAAAAGATCAACAGCGTAGTCCAGATGTTGTAAGATTTAAAAGGGTAATTCTTTGGAAAGATTTAACTTAGTAAAATAATAACAATAGGCACCAGGAATTAAACACCAGCTATATAGTGTTCTATTATTCCTGAAATGTGACTGTTGAGACATTCCTTAAACATTCTACGCTATAGTTTTTACCTTTTAAATTGTGTGTCCAGGGTATGGATGAAGTGCAACAGTCCTCACAACCATGTTTGCAGTGAATACTCCTGCCTTCCTTGCTTTAAATTATAGGCTTGGTAACCAATTGGATGAAAATGCGATCACGTTCTTTAAAAAAAAAAAAAGAATATGAACTGATAAATGCAAGGACTCATATAACACAGGGCTGTCATTTTAGTGGTAGAGCACAAGAACAAAGTGATATAAACTTTTGCTCTTGAAGTACCTGGAGCTGCACTTGTTCCCACCCTTTATCAGGCCAAGTTATTCAACTTTTCCATTCGTAATATATATCACAATATCTTTCCTTAAATTTCCATTTTGTGCTTAAGCAAAAGAATAGATAATAAGAGAAGACCAGAAATGGTATGGTAAGCAATAGAGTCTCGAGAAAACATGGGATATTTGGGTTGATATGGGCAAAGTGCAAATGAGACTTCCACAATCTGAAGTTGAAAACTAATAACCTACAATTAACTGAGAGTGCTTTCTCTCTTACAATAGTTCTAGATGGCAAGGGAGTTGTTTTCATAGAACAATTTCATGGAGAAGAGGAATTAAGTGGGATCAGATGTTTGTTTCTAAGGACACTGAGCAGCTTCCAGTGAAAACAATAGGTAGACTAAATTATGCAGTATTTGATTCAATGTAAAAGGTAAAATAAAGCCATTAACGGAATCCTGCTGCAAGAATCCCCTCCCACTTAAAGCTGTCTTTAAGACTGAGACAACTTGAAGAATAAGTTTAGAGATTGGTCTTTTCTATTACTTAATTTGAATTCACCACCAGATTTCTTTAGTAAAACAGAACACTGGTAACCGAAATATGTGATCTGGGAAATCCTGAGCCTTTCTGGGCCTTCTGAAAACAATTCCCACTATGCCCTACTTACAAGGAAAATAAATAACAATTTGCCTCATATGCTCTCACTGAGACTCACACTTTGAAATATGAAAACATCGTAAGTCTGAGAGTGATATTGCACTATCAGAACAAAAAAGAGGAGAATTATAGATTTTGAGTGTGTCTGACTAAGAATGTAAGTTTGTATTAGTCCAAATTAATTGCAATTGGGGCTCTCCCTATAATTTATATGTTAATTAGCTTTACGCTTAAGTTAGATGTACATGACAAATTTTTAAGAGTGATCACTAAAATAATAAATTGTTTAATGTCTAAGGCATTAAAGAAAAAAATGTACTAAAAATATTAATTCAAAAGAAGAGAAGAAATGTGAAAAGTGGAGCCTAAACAAAACAAAACAAAACAAAACAGACAAATAGAATGCCCATAGTTCACATGTAGAAGTAATAATAAATTAAAATGGGCTAAACTTACTATTTAAAAGATATTGTCAGATTTTAAAACTCCAGCTATGTACATGCTAAAGAATAAGCATGCAGATACTTTGAAAGTAAAAGGATAGAAAAATATACCATGCAAGCATTAACGAAAAGGAAGTTGACATAGCCAAAATAATATGAGACAAAAAAGATTTTAAGACAGAAAGCATTTAGCAACATTTTAAAAACCCATGTATTTGGAAATTTTAAAACATGCTTCCAAATAATTCATAGCTTTAAAAAGAACCCATAATGGAAATTTTAAAATATTGAGAATTGAATAATAATGAAAGTACTAAAGGTCAAAATTTGTGGGACTCAGTAAAGACAGTATTTCAAGGGAAATTTATGGCCTTAAATTTTTATGTTATGTGATATGTCAGGAATAGGAAAATCTATAGAGACAGAAAGTAGAATCATGGTTGACAAGGGCTGGAAAGGCAGTGGAGGAGAGATGGAGAGTGATAACTAATGGATACAAGATTTCTTTGGGGAGTGA